CAACTCGAGAGACTACGCAAGCGGAGATCTTAATTAACATAACTCCAATGTACAGAAAGAGCTAATCTATTAAAATTAAATTTTGAAAAATGATCTTATAAAATACATATATATAGCACGCAACCGCTATTCTGGATAAGCTTTATTACTTTTTATAGTCACCATTCTTAATAAGTAATAGTTTTATTTCTGCTTTCATTCATTTAAAATTAAATGAAATGACGACCAAGTATATATAATTTGTTAGTTAAAGGTAATCAAGCAGATTAAGGGTTTGACACGTAGAATGCTTTAGGACAAGTTATTACTGTTATAGCCTAGGTTCGATACTTTATACCTAATTTGGCAAGCAGGACTCATATCTCGGAAGTGCCGTATTACTTGTTCCTGACGGTTCTGCTTTGATTTTCATGAGAGTTTTTTTTACATATATTTCTGTCTACCTTCTCTTCCTAACCTTAGATTTGTGTTGATTTTAATTCTGATTGATTTACGTGCTCATATCACTTAGAAATCATTGCTTGGGTTATAACAGCTCTAGACCTTCCCATTATTTCAATCCTTGTGCCCTTATAAATTGAGGGCTTATTTTTGTTTAACACTACTTTCACGAGGGTATACGTCCAGCTCTTAAGAGCTTTCGAACCTGTTTATTCTCTTTTTGATCTAGTTTCGGTTCCTGCCTTTATTCTGTGTTGTTTTATCTGTTCTATTGTGCTGTTTTGGTATTTATTAAAAAATATAGTTATATTTTAGTTTCACTTAACTACTCTAGCTGTTTTCTTAATGTAAGTTTAATAATTTAAGTTATAATTAAATTTTTTTTAATATTTTTGTTGCAGAAAATAGGGTGGTATAGACGCTTATTTATAATTTCAATATTAAATTTTTATTCTAGATCACACCTAGAAGCTCTTTTATTAAGTTTTAAAGCCAAGAGGAGCCAAAATTTTCAACTTTTAAAACGTATAATAATACCAAAGATTTCATATATTTTTGTTATAAACGCATGTTCCGAGAAAAAGGCCCTTTAAAAAAATAAGATTAATAACAGTTTCGAGAGCTGTCCTTCTTAGCTCAGCGGTCAAATTCCATTAACGTGCACACTTGAGGTCTTGTTCCATCCACGCGACTCTCTTTTTCGTTCTTTTGAGGATTGCGTATTTTTTAACCTCGCCCTCATTAATTTTAATAGATTATAAGTCCCCGAGGTCCGATTGGAAACAGAAAAACTTCTTAGAACGAGCGAAGAATACATATTTGAGCGTTTATATCCACCATTCCGGCCCTTTATCGAAGATTTTGCTAATTTGGTGTATGTGAACTTAATTCTCTACAATTATTGTTTATTTATGGCCGCATTTTCCTTAGATATGAAGGGCCTAGAAACTAATAAGTGTGATTATTACAACAGCTGATAAAAAAGTTTAAATTATTGCAGTTCATTTCATTTTTAACTATATGAACTTACAAAGCAAAGTGTTTTTTTAACTTTATATATTTCAGTTTATTTTTACACAGCTGACATCAACATTAGCAGGCCTTAAATCCAGACTCTTCCGGTTCTGAAGAAGTTTGTAAACACATATTAGAGCAAAGCATACCAGAAAAGACCGTTTACGGTTGTTGACTTGCATTTTTTAATATGTATGATTTCTTAGGGTGGTTAGTACTTGTAACCGTCTTTTTAAATATAGGTTGCAAGTGTACTTTAAATAGTGAAAATCCTTTGAGGGGGGGACTCATTCTACTTGACAACTGTTGCATATTTTATAACTTGCAGTCCTGTTCGAAATCTTTAGTACATATTTGTCAATAATTTAATTAAAGTACTTATTATTCTTTTTATATAATTTCTTATAAGGAATTTTCAGTTACTCTGAAATTTTATCTGTCCACAAAACTTTTTTTGTTTCTTTTCTTTCTGGCTTCGTAATTAAAACTCAAGAAAACAAAAAAAAAATTTATCTTTTCGGCTGTTAAAGAACGTGATAAAGTTGCCGTTCTGCTTTAGAAGTTTTGTATCGACGTAAAATCGAGCAATGTATAAACTTTGCGGTTTTGCGAATTAATAATCGGTGATAATATATTTAATTAAGCTGTCTGATAAAGCTATTTGCCACGAGATTCAGCCAAAATCTCCTAACAAGCTGGAAAGTAGTAAGGGTACACATCTACCTAAAGTTTCTAAATAAATATCTTAGATTGTAAACTAGAATCTTTCGTCGATTGTGGTTGTAGTAGCCATTTGGAAAAAAATTTTCTCGACAAAATATTTCTTTGCGAACCTTGTAAAGTATACGAAAGCATTTTTGGAGAAGATTCGGATTTCTTTACGACTTTTTTGACTGAATCAAGAAAAGCCTCCTGTTTATTTTTATTTAGTGTTGTTAGAATTACTCTTAATAATTGCCTATGCTTATATCTTAGCTGTTGAGTGCACAGTTTGGGAAACAACCGAATCGGAAGGAAACGTAGGTACGTGGAGTTAACAAACGGTGGTAGCTATAAACTTTTAAATACGACGCCACGAAGAATGTCGGTTTTTGAAGTACACTCTGCCTCTTAAAAAAAATATGGTGGGCCCAACCGAAGCACAGATGGAGGAGCTGCAAACAGTTCTCATAAAAGAGGATAACAAAGTATTACATTTAAACTATAGTGGCAACCGTACTCTTTCTTAAAAAGACAATAGCAAAGAGTAGTTATTTATAGTCAACGTATAACTTTATATAGAGGTACGTTGTCACGACGAGTACCAGTGCTCTTCACATTCCTTACGGAAACAGCTTCGAATCCCTGTGCAAGTACTGCATCACAGAGCACGGGCAAAACAATTGCAGGCTCAAAATAACCGCGTACCTACTGTTCAATATAATTTGTATAAAGGTCTTAAGCTTGCTACTACAGTTCTATTATCTGGAAGAAAAAAGTCAAACTACTTAAAAACTATATTACGAGTGTTACTTTTGAAGGTTTACTTTAAAACAATCAATGGTTAGTTAAGAACCTCAAAGATTGTTCAGCTACTTTTTTTCATACCGTGAAGGCATTCAAGATTCTGTAAATTTACTTGAAACACGCCTGGGCGCGGAGTATGGATGGCGCCCCTTGAATTCTGTCGCAGAGGAAAGCGGGAATATCAGAACCAAAAAAAAGAGTGACCCTTTTTGTTTGTTGCAAATATGAGATTTATTATGTTACTATATTATTCATCGTTAAGCTTCCCCACGAACACATAAACTCTTTTTTGCGATTCAAACTCTCTCTAAGGGCATCGACTATGTTGTGGTAATAATATTCTGCTTATATACACTTACTACTACCTTTTATCTGCTATGATTTCTTTGATCCTAGAATGCGAATCTCGAGCAACTGCTGCTTCTGCTTGCGTTACTTGCTACTTTGTCTTTGGCTATAAGTTTCTATACAGCCACTTATTTATCCTTCCGAAGTCGCTCCGACGTACTTGGAGCAGGCGGTCAGCTTCCTGTTATAAGGGATCGCGCAGAAGTACTGAAGTATGTTCTCATATGTTAAGGAAAATTATAATAGTTCTATATAAGGTCGGGGTTGATGCTTTATTTTAATATTTTAGTGCTAAGCTCGAACAAATTAAGGTGCTGCTCACCCAGGCCAACGCAGCCATCTTGGACTCAAAAGCGGTCTTAACTAAAATTAGGGAACGATGTAAAAGTAAAGGTCTCAATAGCTCTTGTTAAATTTGCAACTAATGTGAACAGTTGAAAAGTCAAATTTTGATCAGCATAGCTGACTTATAACTGTCGTTTAGTCTTCACTTAAGCATGTGAGAGCTAAACTATAATAAAGTAAATGTTTCTGTGATAACTAGAAAAACTTGTATAAAAAGTTCTTACCGCCATAATACAAATTTTAAATTTTCTTTGAGCCCCCATGTATTGTCTAGTAGTAAAAAAAAAAAACTAATTTTACCGAAGTTTTTTTTTTATAAACCTTAAGGCGGGAAGAGCATAACAGAGAATGACAAACAGCATAGGCTGACCAATATAATTAGATTAATTTGGTGTATAAGCTTTATTTTTAAAATTCAACGGCTTTTTAAGCATGTAAGGAATATAAAGTATAACAACATTTTTTACCGTGAAGCTTCCAGATTAGTCTGGTTAATAAAGGCGCTTAATGAATGACCTGAAGGAAACAGAAAAATATTGAGTGTCAGTAACAGCATTCACTATATTTTTCTGCGCAGTAAACCAATTCAAGAAGTTAAGGTAAAATTGCGTTTTTAATAGTGTTGATTTCATAGGTTGATAGTTTCGAGAACTAGTATATTATAAAAATATATATAGGTATGTATAATATAAGAACTAAAAGAAAACTGTGGTAATTTGACAATCTTTGACTATCCCTTACCGCTTAAAAGTAAGAGGGAGTATATACAATCCAAAAAAGATATTTGGCCAACGCATATCAACCTCATAATTTGTAAAACCCTCAGGCGAATAATTCTTACATTACATACAATAGCCAAATTTGGTTATCTTAATTTACATTAACTGGCAGTGCCATATAGAGGGACGTGCCAGAAGTAAATATTCCGTGGAGCTCTCGGTCGAGTACTGGGGTGTCATTATCGATTGGAACTAACTCGGCGGTATCATGTAAAATTTGTACGATTAAGATTATAACCGCAACCCATTCACTTTTACTCGCTGTTGTGCATAAAACACAACGTCCCCATGCAATATAAAGTATGCTTGCGCCCTATAATGGCCTATGCATCTCTAATATTTGGACATGAAAAAACTTCAACAATTGCACTCTGGCTGACTGATAAAATAAAAAAATTTAAGCCGACACAAAACAAACAAAAATAAATTAAAAGTGGCCAAATATATAATGGTCACAGAAAACCAGGTTATTGGATGAGAAAAAATAATTTTTCGTAAACCCGAAAAACTTTTAAACTCAGTAGTCGAGATCTCGAAGTTCATTGGCTGGCATCATGTAAAGTTTTAGTATAAAGAGAGTAGCGAATAATAAACTGAACTTTTTTAGTATCCTTTATTTAATTTTATCACGCTATAAGCACGAAGCTTCAAACAACTGAGCATGAAAACTAACACTACAACTTTAAGTTAACCAAAATTGAATACATGACTACCTGGCAAGCACCACTATTAGAGAATACCTATCAACTTAGACGGAGGCTAGCTGACATAAAACTAGTTCTCACGGAACAGGAAATTCACGACATTTCTTCAAAGATAACCCCATAAGGGCGAACTACTAAAAAAATCAGCTACCGTTATAAGGATAAAAACTAATAACCACCACAAAATTATCAAATCAAGGATACAAGCAGGACATAACGGAAACAGGAATTGGTTCTTCAGACGGTAAAAGCCGTGTTTAAAAAAATCATTAGTCACACTTATGGCAAAGCCAGAAGAACTATGCAACGCAATTAAAAATAAGAACCAAAGTATTCAAGAGTACACTAAAGGCTAATAGCGCCCCTCTCCTTCCAAAATTTAGGGACTTACTCAAAATGACTCCTTAGTATGTGGAGGTGAGGAATACAAATACGGCACGACCTCAATTGAACACTATTATACCAATAATCAAGAAAAAATAAAATGAATATACGCGCTAGATTCACCATTACACGCTGAAAATAAACACACTCTGCACGGTGACCATCTAATCTCCAAACGAAACTCTGGGAATGCACTAGCAACCAGCTTGACAAAAAAAAGCACACTTAATACCAACTACTACAGGTGCAAGGGCAATCATGATCCTCAATAGTTCAAACACAAAGCATCACAATGTGCATATTTCCTGAAAATAGGGCACATAGAAACAGCATGCAAATGCTATAGATGCATGAAAAATTACATAATCAACAATATTGCAAATTTCATAGCGCACCTATTGCCGTAAACTGGGGGAGGTTAACTATCATAACACATGTGAGCATACTTCAAAACAATTGGCCTGAAGAAACTAAGGAAAACCTTGACAATGAAAACCATAGATCCACCCCAGTGAATCAACATCAACATTGGATTGTCTTGAGGCCAATCCTTCCCTCTCTATGATAGTCGACACAGCCGCCTACCCGCATATCATCAGATATAAGGAGTTATTAAGTGAAATTAAGAATGAGTGCAATATACAATAAAAGGAAAAATTTGCATAAAAAAAGTCTGGGAGATTAACTACAATAGATAATGGGAGCTCACTCTATGGCAACTCACTTAAAAATAATCTCATCCTCGCGATTTAGACGAAAGAGGAATACACAACGAATTTGAATAACCGAATGGTAGCAATAACATTAACCAACGGAAATACTATCCGAGCGACGATGAAAATGACCTTTACATGATCGAAACACCAAACAATAATACTGATTACTCATTTAAGACTTACTCTAAACATGACGACGTAGAGAATAACAGTGCACAGTCATGCAAATTCCAGACAACTGAAACACATAATACCTAACATTCCGACCCTTTAATAATTAATAATGCGAAATATGTTTCTACAAAGTTAAGAAAGAAGAAAATAAACAAACAGAAGGAGACTCATCCCAAGAGATCTAGGGAATTACTATACACAGACACACTGCAATGGGGCAAGATATCCAAATTAGACAGCAAATATGCAGCAATCATATCCGATGCCAAATCTAGGAAAAGCTTCATTAAATTTACGAGAACAAAGAGAAAAGTAGGCATCAAATAATCGATTAATCGCTGCACACAACAGGTATATCTTGAAAAGACGTCTCAACAACAAGCAAAAGCCAGCACTTATTGAAGAGATCAGAGTTAATAACGGCATAGAGTTTATTAACAATGAACTATGTTGACGACTTAACCAAATTGGCTTCCCATTTCTGCCACACCCAAAGAATGTCTTCAATACATGATTTGTGAACGAAGTATTCTAACACTAAGTAGCATGACAAGATGCATCCTCAAACAGGCAGGGCTTGGCCTCTCAATACTGGATGAAGCAATAACAAAACCCGTTTATATAACAAACAGCCTTCCCTAGTACAATGAATATCTAACTCTCATTCAAATATTTGGAATTAAAGAGAGACATATTAATCACTCTACACACCCCTCGGATGAAGGGGTTTGGTCCATAACCCAGAACACCAAACCAAATTCCCAGGACCGTATCATTACTTGTATGTTGCTCTTCATACCTTCCTATAGCACAGCAGCTGAATATCGAATCCTTAACCTAAAGGCAAGAGAAATTATTTAATCAAGGAACATAGTATGCTTTGAACAATATATCCCCTTGAATACAGCAAAGACGATATATGAAAGAACGGGAATTAAAATAGAAATTGACGGCACATACATTTATCAGTTAAATCAGCACGCTTTCATCGGTAATGACCCTATTATACAATCAGCAACGCAGCATATAAAACATGAAAAAGAAGACAGCTATAAGGCCGAAAACAACGAGAAAAGCATAAAGAACATTAATCGAACAATAGAATTTGACCCCAAATAAAGTGAAAATGGTGGGAAAAAGAAATCAATATGCAATATGTTAAAGCAAAGCAATCGCAGCAGACAACCTTTTTAACCCTTGCACAAATCAACAGCAAACAACAACAATTGTCAATAGCCAGTTCACTACATCGCAGGAAATATAAAAGGGTATAAGAGCAAAACAAGAACTAAAAGCACAAGAATCTATAAAGTTTATACTATAACTAAGGGCATTCAAATTAGAAGAATCAATAATAATAAGCTCGAAAAGGTTGACAAAGACTCCAGTCAAGTACACCTAAAACATGACACTAAATAACTACTAAGAAATAACATTAAATTAGACCTCACAACATGAACTATTGCAAACAAATTAAGCTACGAAGAGTCAACTGACCTTGAACAAGAAAATACCCTAAATACTGTCATCCATCATAGTTCACAAAACAATAAATGAGCTAAGCAAGAAGAACAGTTATTAACCATCAAAGATATAAATCACAACAAAGATTTAGACCCCACTCACAAAGAAAAACTACGGAAGAATTACCCACCACCGCACTTAACACAGAAAATCAAGACATCCAAGGCCCGTACTTCACAAACAAGAAAATTAAACACTCTATGTTAACCAAAATAGAGTTCAAGAAACAAGGAAACGAATTAGAACAGAAGAACCTACCGTTGACGATGAACTCGAAATGAAAGTAGAAACTACCTCCCTGTTAACCTGCAGTGAAGCCAAGCCGGAGGCTGCCCAGGAAGACTATAAACAGATGACCATTTCTGGAAATTAACTCGGTAATTAAACATAAAAGATGTACAATCATTAGGCAGTGTGAACTAACAGATAACGCTAACGTATTATCAGCTACATGGAAATTTCACATGAACATGCCAAAAGATATAAAGGAAGACGTACTGCGAGGGGATATATATGCTAGCAAAGAGCGTGGGCTATTACGAAACTTATTCTTCTGTTCTCCACAAAAGTACGCTCAGAACCTCTTAAAAACCTTGACCCAACTAAAGGACGTAGATATACATAACAGATATTACCAATGCCTTCCTCCATGTGAATCTGGAGAAACCCGTATGCATCCAAGTTCCCCAGGCATGCACCTAATAGGAGAAAACTTGGATCCGCAATAGAGGAGACTGTTCAACGAACATTATAAAAAGAAAGAAAATGCGTGGTAAAAGTAAATGGGGCAACTTACCGGCTTACAGAGTCAGCAATACTATTTTCACCGCCATATTACCTAAAACTTATTAAAATATGAATACAAACAGTCTCTTA